TGTCTTTCCTCACTTACAATAGTCCATGAATACCTTATTAACAATATTGAGAACGGAGAAATTAATGGATTATTAAAGCGTTCGATTTGGTTGATCACAATATTTATTACAAAAAATTGGTTTATATGGAATTACTGAATTCGAAATTAGTGGCAAGTGGTTTGCCTCATACCTAACCAACCGCACACAGCAGGTCCATCTGAATGATCATTTGTCCAGCCCCTTAATTATCAATATTGGTGTTCCCCAGGGATCAGCCTTCTTTTGTTCCAATCTATATTAATGATTTGCCGCAATCTCTCGTGCACTCTGATCCGAATCTTTTTGCTGATGCACTTTTAGAACATAAATCTGACTTAACTGTAATTCAAGAGTGCCTCTCCAAGGAACTGACCAATGTCTCTCAATGGACTTAGAGTAATCGAATGATATTCCAAGCGCAAATTTCCAGCTCTAGGTTCTTGTTTAATTGGACCTGACTTTTCTTATATTGAAGAAATTACGTCTGGCAAACTCTTAGGACTTACACTTGATAGCCACCTTGTGAGGGTTAATCAAATTGATAAGATATATAGCAAGATTAACTCAAGATCGTTTCTGTTCAAACGAATCTGCGAAGCTCTTCCTTTTGACTCCAGAATAAAATTTTATTTCGGTCTAATTTACCCTCATTTTATATATGGTATAACTATGGTAATGCTTCAAATGAGCTGCTCCATCCGTTATTAAAGTTGCAAAAACGGGCAGCGCGTCTAATATTAAATGAAAGTGTGTCCACGCCATTTGTTGTCATTTTTCGTAAATTGAAATGGATTCCAAGTCATAATCTTATATTTTGACATATAAACATGTACAACTAACCTGAGGGTCCTCTCCAGTAATTATTATCTTCTTACGTCTCTGACGTGGCTCCACTTCAATAATGATTTCGTCATTCTTGAGTGCTTCGATTTCCTTCCTTATCTTGTCGTACAATCTGCCATCACACGTGATTTCTCTCTTACTCTCCAACTCCAGATACATCGCCCTAACTCCCAACACGTCCCTTCTTTCGTTCAACTTGAGGATAACGTCCTGAGCGCTTTCGAATTTCTCGAACACTACACATGCACGAACTTTCTTACAATTTGCAAACCAAAGTTTCAGGATTTGTACAGTTTCGAAATCTTTCATGACTTCCATCAATTTTTCTTTCTCTGCTTGAAGATCTACCTCATACAGTTCATTGGACGGAACTGTAATTTTCGAGACGCCTTCAACTTGGGACGTGGTACAACAACCTTCAAGTTGTTTCCTGACTGTAAATTCATCGTCCGTTTCCTGAACAAATACAGCGATATCACCACCTGACTTCTGCACAAAAGATCTTTTTGAAAAGCTCGTTGTCATTTGTTGGTTGAGGTTGTAGACTATTTCGTCAGCGATATCTCGACTCTTACACTTGATGTAAGCTTTCTCTCTGGCAGGCAAAAGAAACCAGCTAACTAAAACCTTAACACCAGAAGGCTGGGTATAATTCTGAGATGCAGTACTTTCAACATGGGTAGGTTTCAGTTGTATTCTTCTCACGTTGTACGGCAATTCATCTCGATTTCGAACAGAGTGTAGGTGGGTATTTGCTTTCTTGGTTTGGCTAACATCAGAGTACGTCACATCACCCCATCTGAAATTAGGTCCACTCATCGGATTGGTGCAGGCAGCATAATGAATCACATTTCCCGCATCACGGAGTATGTCAAGAACTTCATCAGAATTGACCTAAACAAAAGTATAATGACCCTGTTATACGTACACAGATGGTTTTTCTCAACCTTCACAGATTTTTCACAACTTTTCCAGCTTTAATCTACAATGTCTGTTTTCATTCCACGCAATTACATCAATCAGGCTACAACGTGGTGCTTTCAAAATCTCTTTAGTTATTTGAGGGCTTTCTCCTGTTTAATTTGTGCCAATGTACGTGACATAACGGTGTGGTGTACTGTACAATTAGTGTCCACAACAGGTTTTGCGGAAACTAAGATAACGTTTATTTTGGTAAAGAAATAGAAATGAAAGCACGGAAATGGTACTCTGGGATGCTGAGAATTTCCTAGTTAGGGTTTCCTAATAGAAAAATGGAGGATTCAGCATTTTAAGATTTCAGGGACACCATGGAATATTATTTCTATATTACCTAAGTTTGTATATATATTTACACTTAGCTAAAAATGTTTGTATGTAGTTTCAATAGGGGAAGAGCCACCTCGTGGATCTTATTGATTAAATCATTATTATTATTATTATTATTATTATTATTATTATTATTATTATTATTATTATTATTATTATTATTATTATTATTATTATTATAAAGAGCTAGCCGGGAGTAGTTGGAAAAAGCCATATAGTGATATACTACAAACCACCCGGTACGAATACAACCTGCGGTTCTGTGATTCTAGTGATGAGATCTCCTTCCGTTTTTTTTGTTGTTGTTTTGAAACTTTATTTACCGAGAGTTACACATAATAGTTTGACAACTAATAAACTTGTGGCCCTCTTAAAAACCCTACTAATGAACCTTCTGTACTAAATGTGCGATGCTATGTCACAATATATCAACTTTGAAAGAGATCAACACTAATAGTAAATCAATACAAAATAATACAAACCTCTTCGCTCACATCTTCTTTCTCCACAAAGACATCAAACTTGCAAGATGTTCCAGGTTGAAGGATCAATCTCGTTGTCAAGTCGTTTGCAACTAACGTCTTCAGACCTCCAACATTTGAAATGAAGACTTCTGAGTAACCTTCAAGTTCACGTCGCTTCTTCTGAATCACATCGTTCACCTGGTTACTGGCGTAATTAAGACAATCTTTAGTCGTATAGACATCTACCATTCCTTTGTCAACGTTACATTCCACTGCACAAAATGCAGTGTGTCCATCAATTATGGCACTGTATTCTGATACGGAGGTTTCTATCTGCTTTATAGTTGAACCTTTGCAGCCAATCACAGCTTTAACCAGCTCTGGACCAATTGGGTAGATCCTGTGTCGTACAACTCGTGATCTTGCAATGGTTTCTTCATCAATATACTGTAACATATGCATAGCAACTTCCGCGAGCCAGTCATAGCGTATTGGTGTTAGATTAAGTAAGAATACCTGATTCGTGCGTTTAAGTTGCTGGTACAGTACCCATTCAGGCTGATCACCAAGACTGGAGAGAACAGATGAAGGATGAATTATGGCTTTCTGATTGGATGAAACCGTCATATAGCCGAGCTTCTCGTGACCAAACGACCAAGCTATATTTTCAAAATATCCAGCTAACAAACTTTTACTGAGAGATTCCTGGATGTTTTCTGCTGTCACTTGTAAGTTGAGTCTAGGTCGTATTTTAGAGAGCGCATCTCGAATCTCGTTACCAGTTTCTCGAGCAGAGCGAAGTAATTTGGAATTCAATGCATTCTTCTTGCACCAGGCTACTTGAGTCTTAGATGACACCTTAAACCACTCTTTATACACATCAATTGCACTCAGGAGATCTCCACTGGTCTGGCAGAATTCTTGTTTTTGAATTGCGCACTCGTTTCTCTTCTCAACGGTTCCTCGATAGAAAACGTCATGTCCGCTCGACATAAGTGCCGCGGCAATGATGACGTCATCACCACACCCTCGGTCCAGTCCCTCGAGCAGCGCCTTTGATAGCTGTGGTTCAGTTGGTAGTTGAAGCATTTCTTCGCCTAAATGGTTCAATGTTCCGTCAGGGTTCAAAGCGCCCAGTAGTCTCAAGCTCTCTAGTGCTTTCGTCAGCGCAGAAGGTGGTGGACTCTCAACAAAGTCAAACTGCTCGATATCTGTGACTCCTAAACTCAGCAACTGAAGGACAGCCATACCAAGATGCATTTTTAAAATCTCTGGTTTTGTACTTGAGTCCATGTTGTTGTAATCTTCTTCTGTATACATACAGTAACACTTGCCTGGCCCTGTACGACCTAGCAATAAAGAAAATTACAGATTTTAGTTATCCTGAACAGAAATATACATCCCGCTAAAAATAAAGGTCCTGTTATACGTAACAATACTTCATGATAATTGTAAGGGTAATTGTACATCAAGTAACAACTGTAAGGAACTGCGCGCCTACTATATCCGCCATTCGTTCGTTCCCAATCGTATTCGCAAGTTGTATACATAACTCACGCCATACAGCACAATTTACAATATAGTATGAAGTGTTAATTTTTTTGGCAAATCTTTTACGATATTGTCCACAGTCACTCAAGTACGGGTTGCAATCTTCTTGCAGCTGAGAGTCAAATTGACCCATGTCTCACTACGGAGCAGAGCGAAAGTGTTATTTTTGCTGAAGGAAGTCAACCGTAGGATTTTAAAGAGGAAAACCCTTGAAGCACAGGGGAAAACCAACCACAATTCAACTTACATGAGTTTTCATGTGCATCAAGTCAGGGCAAAGTAATTGTACATCAAGTAACAACAGTAAGGAACAGCGCGCTAACCATATCCGCCATTCATTCTTTCCAAACGTGTTCGCCAGTTCTGTAAAAGCGCTACAACGTACCTGCCCTACCAGTCCGCTGTTTAGCAGAACTCTGGCTCACAAGTTTAACATCCAAAGTGGTCATATTTCTGTCAGGATCGAAGGACGGCTCTTTCACCATGCCTGAATCAATAACAATACGAATGCCATTAATGGTGAGTGACGTCTCTGCACTGTTTGTTGCGACAACGATCTTTCTTTTTCCCTCAGGTGGTGCGTCAAATACCTTGAAAAAATAAAGATTCAAAAATATTGATAGTGAAAATTCTCACAAAGACATAATCGTTTAATTCCATTTTTCTCTTCATTCCAATTATAGCCTGTGTTTATTTTATCAAAAAGCTGCGGATTGTGAGGGATTAAACTGCCTGAAAAATACAGTAAAACGTCTCGAGCGAACGTCCTTTGTCGGAAGGTTTACCAACTTACGAGCGAAGGGCTTTCGCTCGAAACATCGACGTGTTATTGTCATCACTTAAGCTAGCATCGTTTCTGTCTATTTAACTCGGCCAACACCAGAGTCTTCACATCTGCTACCCGGCTTCACACAAGTTTTCACACGAGAAGTGTCTGAGATAAGTTGTTTCAAAGTTCGGTAGTAGCCCAGGTCCTATTCACCCTGTGGATAACCGCAGTGGCGGAAATCTCGGTGGGGCAGGGGGCCGCCCCCACCTTCTTGGAAAATTACGAATTTTCGGAAATTGTGACCTATAAGAGGGCTAAAAACAGCCTTTTCTAGTGCAAATGGGGAGGTTTGTCGAAAATTTTTCTAGTGCAAATGGGGAGGTTTGTGAAAGTTTTGTCGGAAATTTAGAAGGCTTCGCTCCCCACCGGAAAAAGTGAATCCCCGCCACTGGATAACCGACCGAAAAATGATAATAATTTTACACGCGTCAATGTGACAGTACATGATCATATCATATTTTTATATTTTTGACACGTTCAATCATTCTCATGTTATTCAATGTAATATTCAACAAATATAAAACATTTTCCGTGTTGATATACAGTTATATCAACACGAGTGGAAATTGGGAAAACGAGAAATTGTGTGGAAACACGACGCCCGAAGGGCGGAGTGTTTTCATACAATTTCGAGTTTTCCCAACTTCCACGAGTGTTGATATAACTATATATCAATACGGAAATAATGTTTTATATTTGTTTTATAATATAGCAATGTCAAAAGCCCGAAGAATAAGAAAAATTTCCGTGTTTACAAGCGCCGGAAAATTTCCCGTGTTGACATGGAGTTATATCAACACGGCTCTTAGCCAATCAGCGTTCAGAATTTACAAATGCTATATTATAATAATATTTGTTATATAGCTAGGGTGAACACCAAACGTGATTGGCTGATTTGTGGTCACGTGACTTCAGATAAATGCAATGTATTCCGCCGGGCAACAAGTGAAAAATTGTTGCCCGCCCCGACCACTGAGCTTTTGGCCCGACCCAGATGGGCCCGACCGGCTACGTACATAAATAAACAAAATGGCGGCACAACTAGCATAATTAGAAACTACGATTTTCCAAGTTTGTGTTCAAATAAAGAATGTAAAAGGGAAGAAAAATATACAACATGCAACAGGATATGCTGCAGAAACCGTTTAAGTAGGTTCTTTTAATTTTAAACTCGTTTACACTATGGAGTTTTTGTCACGAAAAACAATTGTTGTGATGAATGTTGTTGAATGTTGATTTTTGTTCGTCGCTATATAACAGAACGCTTAATGGCTATTCCCTCGGGAAACTTTTAACGATAATGACTGAACGGTTAAAAAACTTTTTTACCATTAAATATAATTCAATTCTTATGAATACATTTTCACAATAGGTAGTTTAATAGTTAAGTTAGAGTATATTATCGTAATTTACCGTAATTTAGGATAGAGTACATATTATCTTACTATACAGGGTGTATAAAAAAAAGTAAGACAATTTTGAAATTGCTCTCAACTCCACAATTCTGTTAATGAAATGTAATTTTTGCTATATATGGATTGCTTGAGTTCGTAAATTATGGAAAATATAACAATTTTTGAAAATAGTAAATTTTGCTATCCAGGTGGGTGGTCAACTTTTGCTCCCCCTAAAAGTGGCTTGCGCACGGAAATGACAAACGATATTCTTTATTTGAGTTCATGTATGAAAAGTTCGCTATTTGTTGCATTTATGATAAAATCTCGGCAGGATTTTACCGAGTACAAGCCTATGAAAACGTTACATTTTTCTCTGTTGGTGCTGTTCTTGCTTCATTAATAATAATAACTTTATTCAAACAAAAATACCAGCACTGGTATATAAAGAATACAGCAAATGTCTATAAGCTATATAAAAATAACATAATAGAACAAGAGTAATAATATTTACAACGATGACAAAATTTAAACAAGGACAAGTCAAGGAAGAGCTAGATGCAGGCAAGATCTAAAAAAATATTCATAATTTCGTATATGTACTTGGCCGTAGGATTAATAATGTTTTTGTCATTCATTGACACACAGTATAAAAATAAATTATTTGTACCCAACAAGCTGAATTTGCTGTTATAATCAACTAACTCATTTAAAAAATTTTCTCGCAGTCTTTCTAACCTTTTGTTACTACAATGTGAAAAGTAGTGATATTCGTCCCCAATCTCATTCGAGTTACAAATTGGACATAGACGTAAATCGTGTTCAATATTCGCATATCGTCCAGTTTCAATTGGTAACTTATGAGCGGATATTCTAAACCTAGTCACTGCTTGACGGTGCTTCACAATTTTAACTTGAGATAAATAGCTTTCAAATTCTATACTAGGTTTTACAAGATTGAAAACTTGCAATTTACTGAGTTGTTGAATCTGAACTTTCCACATGATATTAAATCTTTCACATAACTCGTTTTTGATACTTTTGACTACATTATTAATATCACTCTTCTTCCAAATTGTAGTATTTTTTAAAGGATTAAAGTTACACACATCTCTAACAAAAAATGATTGAATTTTGCAATCGGACAACATGATTGAATGCATACACGTGCTGCTTTACCCACAAACTGGTTTTCATACATTGGACTATTTATTCTTAACCAATACTTGATGGCTAATGTGGAAACCTGGATAATCATTGGGTATCTTCCTAGTTCAGCAATTGCTGCTAGATTGACTCCCAGAATCCGTTTACAAAACTTTATATGCAACTTTTCAATATCCGAAATCGTACTAAAAAACTTTTTCTTAAACATTTCAATATTTGTTAAACTTCCTAGTAATTGAACTCCCCATACTTCGACGCAGTACAACAATATCGGAGAAACCAGAGCCGAGAAAAGTTTTAAAAGTACTTTAACTGGGACACTATCCAAATTTGAAAAAAGTTTTTAAATATACTGTGGTATGCCCCCAATGCTTTACTATACAACAACTTTTGAGCTACTTTAAAACGACCAGAATAATGGAAAGTGATTCCTAGGTAGACATAGTCATCAACACATTCTAACAATTCTCC